GGCTGCTGTGGGATGCTGGTGAAAAGTTTTGGTTTCAGTCCAGAACTAAATGGATTTCAAATGCAGAGGAAGTACTTGCACTGAAGTAGTAAATCATAGAGGTTGTTTGCTGGGGACTGATCTCTTGCTGATGCTTTAATGTAGATTTCATCTGAGAAGTCCTTTGTAGGTGCTGTAGAAGGGTGAGTTGCCCAGACAATTGCTTCTCATTCTGGCAAACTGCTTTTTCAGAGGCTTTGAAGTATTAGAATAACTGTTTTTCAGAAGTCAACATAGTATCATTTTGGGGTTTGCAGTCAATGTGTGTCTTTGGCAAAATTTGGCCACATACAGGTCATATCTGGAAGCAGCCCAGTTTATGTAGTTTTGTCTTGGTTGTAATGCTGATGTTAAGAGATAATGGGGGCTGAGGGCTTGTCCCAAAAGGTGCTGAAGACTGTTGCGTTTGCAGTATCACAGCCCGATTAGCCTGTAAACTGTATTCATTTTGGTCATCCCCTATTGCTGGATTACAGATTATGTTTCCCCTTTTTCTTGACATTTATTTTTATATTCATATCCAATATGTAAGCGTTTCTTAAATTTATTGAATTTGAGTTTTTATTTTATTTCCATCATGAAAACGAAAAGATCCACTGGGTCCAGTCTTGGCTGCTGAGTAGTCAATATAGTGAACAGCAGTGACTGTTTAGTTAAGACCTGAAGATGATGAATTTGGAAGAAGTATTAAGCATTATTATTACAAATTGTCAGTGCATACTTTTCCAAAGCATGTTTAATTGTATGGAATCACAGTTGTTTTCTCTAAGACATTTTGCCTGAATTACGACAGTGACTGCATTTTTGCTGACAAACTTAACCAAAACCCAGATGCTGTTAATTTTTAGTTTTAACAGCAATAGAAATTTGCCTGAACTAAATATATAGCACCTGAAATTTGAAAACTGAATGTCGTGAAATAGGTAATCTAGAGTTAATGTGTGACTGTTGAGCTGAAAACAAAGTATACATTGAAAGCAATTTAGAAATCTTGATTCTTATGTTCAATTAACCTGTAGCTAAGAGGGTTAGTGATGACAGCATTTTCATTGAAAATTGATTTCATTTTGACTTTAAAGGTCACAAGGAAGGCACGTATAACCTCTGTAGTGGCAGTCTTGTCCTGCTATGGGTTTGCAGTTAGGCACCCTTCAGTTTTCTTCTATAAAAGAAAATATAGAGGGAGAGGATGCCATTAAAACTGGTAAACTGAGCAAAAGAAAATGATGGAACTTGAATCCTTGAAAAAGCAAAATGATGGGTTTTATTAGGATAATTTTCCAATGTTATTAGGGGCCTTGCTTAAATTGTACTCTGAATTATTCTATGTTCAGAAAATTTTACTTTGAATTATTTAATGTTCAGCAAATAGGAAAATACAATACTAATTACAGCTCTCATCCTTTCATTGGTAATTAAAGTATTTTTGTTTGCTCAAGGAATTTTGAAACTTGCTGCCAGTTTCTTACTGTTATGTTGTTCCTTGCATCTTTCAAATGTGAAGTGTATATCAGTAGCACCACCTAAATAGATAAAAGGACAAGTGATGTGCAGTTTTGAATTGTTGTTACCGTCATGTCAGTTAAGAATGTCTGCTTTTGGTGATTTTCAGTATAAGTACTACCAAATGAACCCAGTAGTTCTGGCACATAAAACGTGAACAGTATAATGTTCCTTGAACCTTTTTTTCAGTGAATTGCCGAAGTCATGCTTTTCAGGAGCTTAGTGAATTTAAAGCACTTTCAAGAAATATTCTGGGTTCACAGCAGCAGAGAGCTAATGCATCTTCTCAAAAAATACATTGGCTACTGTTATAGGTCAGCATTTGCCAACAGTTTCTGTGTGAGATGCCAGTTTGGAGTAGAAACTAAGAAATGGGTTGAGCGAAGCACTTTATCCTGTTCTTGGCATAAAGCACAGGAATAATCCCATTGACTACCCACGTGTGCTTTACTGGGACTGCTCACATAGTGGAAGTTAGGCATGTGTTTAAATAATTTGCTTATTTGGGGGCTCACTGTGTGATGTCTCCTGGCAGAGACTTGATTTTCTTATGGCAGCTGTCATATCACCTGTGTGCAGGGAGCACAGTGCTGTCTGCGCTAGCCATGTGGTCCAAAGCAAAAGGCTATTTCTGTGTCCACCCCCAATCCGTCCTGCACTTCTCTGGCTACTAATTATCTGTTTGCTGCCAATTGTGCTCTAGTGTTTTTGGTGCCCAACCACTCCAACTTTTGCTGCTCATACAAGTATCGAATTGCCTTTGTAAGGCAGAGAGTAGTCTTTTACTTGTTTAAGACTGTATATGTGGTTGTTACAACATGAAAAAAAGTAGCTCATTGTCATAATTTTCCTTGGTTTTGGTCAAATTGTCCTCTCTCTGTCAGTGATCCCACTGAAGTTGACATTGATGCTAGCAGAAGAGAACCAACACTTCGAAGATCCAAGCTTAATGGTGAGAGAAGCTAAAGGGAGTTTTTCCATCTATTGAGTATCTAATGGCAGCAGTGTTCTTTATTTGAGAACCTCTGTGAACAGATCATCTAGGGAAATGGAGCTCTTTCAGCATGGAGGGAGGGAGAAGTTAAATGCTGAGGCAGGATCTTCTTTAACCTAATATTTTGTGACCATTATCTCTGCTTTAATCCAAACTTATCCACCAGCAAAATAATACAACTTCAGGTTAAAAATACATTTATTAAATTTTCCACTTCTGCCTTCCTCTCCCATCACCTACATGCCCAAGGCAGCAGATGTCCTTGGACACAGCATTTCCCCATGCTTGAAAAGAGGCCAGTTACAGATGGGGAAGTGTCGTGACCTGGGCACGGCAGATCTCCAGAACCCTCTCCTGCACTTTCTCCTCAAGAAATACCACTTCTGCAGCAAGCTAGCACAGACTTAGAACCTATGTATAAAAGCAATTCACGCTAATAGAGAGGGCTACAGTTGTAGTAGACAGTGATTAGTTTGTGGCACCAGCAAGCCCAGTGCTGTGGTTGGTAATCAGTGATGCTACTTCAAACTCAGGATCTCAAACTTTAAGCTTGCTTTACACTCATCACATCTGGTTTTCTGTTGTTTAGCCTTTGCTAACAACTTCACCAGAAAAGCCTAGGAAATTCAGAACAAAAGACTGTTAGTCTCAACTGAAAGGTTTTCTCAGTAAATCTAGTTATCCTGGCTGGCAAAGTGCTGTTATCTTCAGAACATGTGTCAACAAATATTCTTTAATGTATAATCATCTCAAATGGAGTAGTCTTTTGTTGAAGCTGCGTTCAGGATAGAGTGAATGGGGTAAAATGAAAAATAATACAAATAGATCTTTTTCACTGGGATGAAAACTTGAATGCTTTCACAAACAAGACAGAGGCCATCAAGTATTGCTCTAACAAGCTGCAACTTCATGTGTGAGGTAGGAAAACAAGTACTATTTTCACAGGCTGTTAAGTGTTTATGCCTTGAATATGCTTATGAGAGTCTTTAAGGTGCTGTGGATCCAGTATCATAATAACTATTAGACGTGAACACTGATGAGCTAAGGATTAAATTGTTTTAGAAGTGTATTAGTAGGCTTTCAGTTAGCTAATGGTAAAATATTTATGACTTAAGTAGGAAGCTTTTTCCAAGAAAATCTTGTGCATTTTCAGTGGTATACTTGAATCTACAAAAATCCACATGAAACCAGCATAGCATCTAAATAGTTGATTCATCCTCTGTATATAAATAAAATATTTAATTCGCACTTTCCTCACTTAAGCCATAGGCCTGAAAAGCAAGTACCTGAGTTGATTTTCTGGCTTCGATAGAGACTTCTTGTACCTTTCTGGGAAATCACTTAACATCTCTCTGCCTGCAAGCCAGACCCTGTAGTGTTTGCCTGCCTTGTTGAAGAAAGGGGTGACTGCAAAACAAGTTAAGAATCTCCTATCAGAAGACAGAACAAATGGTTTGGTTTTGATGAAAGTGATCTGGAGTCATTACACAAATGTCTAATAGCTGCTGATTTATAAAAGTTAAATTATGAAGCTTTAATAAATGCACATTTCTTTAGACAGTGCTGTAGTATGTTACTAGCTGTGAATACTACATTGATTTTCTTCATATCTGCAAATTTTCCTCCTAAGATATGTAGTAGCAAGTGAAAATGTTCAGTTTCTCAAATGAAGATCAGTTCAAAGAAACATCTAAATGTTGAAAAATCTCTGTGACTCCCCTGATTCCACAAAATTGATTTAGAAATCTTTCAAGGGCTGTTTTTCATCACTCTAAGCAATTGCTGAGAAACTTTTCATTCAGTGACATTCTTGTCAACTTGGATAGTTCTTCACCCAAGCCTGGGGAGTTATTTCTTGTGTGTTATAGCAAGTGACAAGTTTTGAATGGTATCTGTTAGTACCAGTAGTGGCATTTACATTGGAGACTAGAGGAACTATTGCTTACAAAGGAAGAGAATTTAAAATTCACATGCTAAAGGCAAACTGATGAGGCATTCAGCTCAGTGGGAACAATGATATCTGCAAAGGTCAGTGGGATGAGATTTAAGTACAGAGGAAAGAAAACAAGAACGGATGAATCCATAGTTCTTTGAATGATCTTTGGCCCCCTATTCTTTCCTTGATATGGTCATTAGTAGAGGAACTAGGTCTATAAGCAGTTTTATAATATATCTGGGAGTGATCAGAGGTTGAATTTAGGCCCTTTTTGGGACATACATGGATTCTAATGAATAGTTTTTTTTTGTGTGTGTGTGTGTGTGTGTATATATATATTATTAAAAACAGTCTTCACATTGCTAATAGTAATACTGTATGTTCACTGTCTTACATTATAAAACTTTAACTCTCCCCAGGGAAACCTCCAAGACACTGAACAGCAACTGAAACATGCAGACATGTCCAGCTGTTAACTCTCACTTTTTTGCACTAGAACTGGAGATAATTGCTTTTCTTTCTGTTTAGCACTTTCAGACCATGTTAAAGACTAAGTTGAATGTCCTAACTCTTCGGAAAGAACCTCTTCCGACAGTGATCTTCCATGAACCGGAAGCCATTGAGCTGTGCACCACAACTCCCCTCATGAAGGCCCGGAGTCACACAGGATGCAAGGTACTTGGGAGTATAATGTTAAGAAGTAAGACCACTTGGAGATGTCCCATGGGCATGTGAGGGCTCTAAAGAACCCGAAGTAACCAACATGGTCCCTCTTGTTGTTCTGAAAACCCCATTAACTGCTACTAATACTATACAGTGTCTGAATCCAAAAAGTTATTTGTTATTTCTGACCAGAAATTTTGGACTTCAGGATAAAAAGGTTTGAGTTATGTGGCACAATGCAAATTATAGAGGGTTTCTAACAGCCTGCAATGAACATTGCTTGTTATAAACACTGCCATTGTTTTTATAAATGCTAGTGCTGAGATGGGAGATGAAGGCCAAATGCTGTGTATTTGCATTTAGCAACCTGTACTAACAGAGGTATATACCTGCTGAAATAAGGTTGCAGCTTAAAACTTGAGGTTAGTTTCATGGTTTTTTTGTGGTTTTTTTTTTTTTTTTTTTTTTTTTTAAGAAAGAGGAAAAGGCAGAGGAAGGACATTTGGGCCTTGATTTGGTTAAGCAACAGTTTGAATTTGCCCAGTTACGTTACGGCACAGCTTCTGAAAAAGCTGCTCTTTAAAGTTTAATGGATTAAGAGACTTGAGTATGTTCTTCTGTGGTAAGAAACCATATGAAAATAGCAAACAAATCTGCTTTGTTTGCATCTTTTCTTGGAGCCATTTTCCTTGGTGGCAGAGCTCACTTAGCCTTCCAGAGCCATGGGCAACCTTGCAGACTGAGCTGGGGCTTGGCAGCCAAGTCCTCTTCACCCAGCCTAGCTGTCAGTTGTAGGGAATATCCACCTACGCTTGACGGTCTTAGTGAAAATGGAGAGGACTGGGTTTCAGCCTCCACTGCTCAGTAAAGTGTCAGCTCTAGAAAGGCAGTTGCCTGATGGTATGTGCACTGGAAAAGGTCCAGAGTGCAATTAAATGTTCTAACTCCCTTCCCTGCCGGTGTGTATACACACATGCCTGCATGTGCACTTTTCCTTGTTGGAGGATCCGATGTGAGATGGGGTTGAAGAAATTGATTCCTGGTGTGTTTCCCTGATTCTCTTGGCATACTGTGTGGAGAGCAGGGGCTGTGTGCATGCTGTGAAGGAAGGGCTTTGTTTGGGCACTTCCTCAGCAAAGCTGCTTCTTGAGAAGTGTCATTTTTGTTTGAATTTTTGCCTGTCACAGACTGCTGCTGGGTGTTGGAAGCAGTTCTGCCCTGTGCTGACGCATAAGAATGCAGGGCAAGTGACCCTAATATGCTTTGTATGGTAGCTCATATCATCTGCTCTTCCATGGTGATGTGTTTTGTCCTTTATGTTGGCATTTAATGAATTTTTAGAGAATATTAGTTATCATAAAAAAATGGATCACAAAGTAGCTGGTTTTCACCCCTACTGAGAGTTCAGACATAATAATACTTTCTGAAATCAGTTTATCTCTGTGAATGTGTGTAGAATTTAAATGAATCTTTTTACTTAACCTACAGTTCTTCAGCTGGACAAGATGGATTGCAGAGAGATGTTGAACCCCTCACTGAAGAGAATCTCATTCTATATTTAGAGATCTCTTTTATTTATTCATTTTATTTTTTTTTTTTCCTGTGATCTAGCATAGTGGTGACTAGGAACATCTTCTGCCACCACGCTCTCCTTTTCCTGCTTGCACTGTTTCTTCCCTTCCCCTGGTAGCTCGTTCACGCCTGCCAGTGCTGGAGTCTCACAGTGGTGTTTTTGGGGTGGTGGCTAACCCTCTTCAGATGATTCAGCAGTTGTGATATGCAGTGGGAAATGCCTTGGGAAGATGATTCTGCATGTATGTTGCTCCTCTGGCTAAGAAATCCTCTCCAGTCATTAACTGAAAAGCTCTGATTTTACCCAGTGTCTCTAGTTGCAGTTTCTTTCTTCCCCTTCCCCTCCCCTTTTTTTATTTTTTCTTTGTTAAAATATATTCTCTTATGGGGCCTGTATCCTCCAGCTGTTTGTAAGTGATTAACTGCCTTCTCCTCTTTTCCCTCTGCTTATTAGTTTCTTGCCGACTGATACAATAATAATGTTGCCATAACAAAGCCAGTATTTCATAATATGAGTTTTCACTCGGTGGGGTCTGATCTACACTGTTATTCCAGGTGTAAGGGAGAGGGAGATGCTGTGGTGTCACCAAGGTTGGTACCACTGAGCCTCTCTGGTTCTGAGACATGGGCTTTTCAGGCAAGAGCGCAGCATTCGGTTTTCACTTTCTTCTATGAGTCACACTCTTTTGATCCTTAATCGTTTTATTCCTCTTGACTGAAATCCCTCCAATTTTTCAATGTAATCCCATTAATGAGATAGCATCATCCTTCTGACAGAGGCTCCAGACATCTAATTTTATTGCACAGTTTTAACATAAGCCTCAGCTGGCACCATCTTGTTGTGGGAATTTGACACATGCAATTGCTTTGCTGTTCAGAGGTCTGGGCATTGGTTTTCTTATGCAATTGCTCTTTTCGTTTTCCTTGCACTGTGAGACAGGCTTCTCTTTGCTCTTTCATTTGGTGTTAGCTGCTGAATCCAAAGAAACAAAACTTTTGCTGCTGAGATCCAATCTCATTCTGCAATTGAATGGGGTTAAGAATAGCAGATAAATGTCTTGCTGGAAGTAGTCTAGGGGGAAGCCCCACAAAATTTGAAAAGTTAAATAGTTGAGAAATTTGGAGAGCTTTTCTTTCCTGTCCAATTCCAGATCCAATGCAACTTTGTTACCATCACGTTTCCTAAAAATGTATCTTTCCTTACAGCAGGAGGCTAAAGACTTGTTCCTTCTGCACGTCTACACCTGCCTGCTTGGGCTGGCTCTGCTGTCACCGTTCCCACCCCTCTAGACTTGTGGGCATGATTTCACTAAAAGGCACTGATTTGCAGCACAGAGCTTTAGGTGCATATGTTTTGGGGTTTGTAGTGCTGGTTTTGCTGTGAGACAGGGGTTGACTCAAAGGCTGTAATTCCAAAAGAGCACCTTCTTACCCCCTTCCTCTCCTTTCCCCACCTCTCCTGTTTGCAAACAGGGAGCAACAGCCCTGCACTCTGGTGTTGCAGCCCAAATCAGCAGACAGCTTGAAACAGAGCAGGATTTCTGGGTACAATAAAGCATTTGGATTCTGAGTTTTCCTGGGGGTAATTTTCTTTTGTCTAAGCCATGGTGTATGTTAGGTGAGAGCTAGGTCTCTGGCCCCAGAGAAATCACAGCTTCTCATCCTCCTCCAGCTGAGACCACCGGAGCAGGGCAGTGGGATGCAGTGCCCAGAGGGTTGTCATCTCTGGCAGCTTCAGTTGAGCACCCACATGCATCCTGCCTCTTCCCTGCAATGGATATGGCATTTGTGAATGGTACAGCACCAAGTGTTAAGGTCAGTAGCTGCTCCGAAGAATGATAAAACCCAACTAGCTAACTGTATAATTGTAAATGGCAAGTATTAGCTTAAGCTAAACCACCCATTGCTGGGGAGGAAAAAAAAAGAGTGAGAATAAGTCTTTTGTTCTTCCTAGCTGGTTCCTAATTTGTTTTTATTTAAATAGAACATGTTTCTGTATGAAGACATGGCTGTGATTTATATGTGTGTATGCAGAAATGTGTTTAGTCTTGTTTAGATCCCAAGGATTTTGATTAGACTTGTGGCTGTCCTGCTTGTAGGTCTTTCATGTCAGATGTTGTACACTCTTGTGTTTCAGCTGGAAACTCTTCCCTTATCACAACACTAAGAACAACCAGATGGAAACTGAAAATCTGGAGTATCTCCAAAAAATAAGTTGCTCTCTACTCAGAAATGAGTGTTTTCTCTGTGCCTTTTAACAGATTTGGGTTAAGTTCTGTGTGTTTTATTCTTCCTTAATGTACTAATCAGTTTATACTGAGTCTAAAGTTTCTTATTTCTGTCCCTTTGGACTATGGTGGTGGCATGAAGAGAACTGCCTAAATGACTCTCCCTCTTCTGCTGTAGCTTTTGCAGTACTGCTACAGTAATATGAAAGGACAGAGGTTAAAAATGCTGCCTGTGATTTTTGAAGTGGTGTCATAGGTTTAACTTCTCACTGAATTGTTTCTTAATCTTTCTATTGGAAGGCTCTTCAAAGTGAAGTCAGTGCTGAATAATCAGTAGTTTGTTGTTATCCACCTGGGTTAGGCAATCTTATTCCTCCAGTTCCCACCAGTGGACAAGCTTTTCTCAGCAGCTGGAAGGCTGAGACGAGAGTAAACACTGCAGGTAATTGCATTCTCAAGACTAAGCTTTTATTAAATGGGAAAATGTATATTAATGATACAGTGTTTGCAGGCATGGTACTCATTGCTTGCCTGTCTTATTAGATTGAGATGGTGAGATTGTTAATGCAGGCTTTGTGGAAGGTATGTTGTTGGAATTTCTGTGATAGCGTATCTTAGTTCAAGATTGGTGGAAGTCTTCTTTAGCAATTTGCATAAGTGACATTAGAGTGCTACTGGCATTTTAAAATCAAGCCTTGCCCACATTGATAGAGAATTTAAAAAATAACCACGAAATAACATAAATAGAGCTTTGTCTTTCAGAATAGCTCAGTTGCTTCACTCAAAATGAAAATTGTTCCTCTACTAACCTTGCTGCAGTGTGATGTTTATGGTAGGGTTCATTCGAGGTCTGTACAGCAGGAAGGGGCCACAGTTGAGCTTCCCTGGTACAGTGCAGTGTCAGCAGTTAAGCCCAGAGCTTGACTATTGCAACTCTGGGACACACCTGATGTCATACTTGTGTCAACCTATTAACTGGATTTGAGGTGTTTTCTGGGAGAGCTGGGGAGTGCCTGAGGGCCTTAACCTGTGCAGTGCCAAGGGGCTGCCCTGCATTCCTGTAGCCTGCCCTCCAGTTGTAGGTCTGTGCCCTTTCACCAAAGCCACACTGGATCAGCCTGTCCTTGTGGCTGCTCTTCTGGCCTTACTGGCCTCTGACAAGAGTTTTCATTTTCCTTTTTGTGTCTCTGTCTTTCTCCTATTTTTCTTATT